GGGGCCCAGCTGGGGCTGAAGATCATGATCTGTAGTAACGTGAATTCACCCGGTTGTGCAATTTTTCTTCGGCAGCCATCAGCAGTTTGGATGTGGACCAAGGACGGCAGATGGCTGGGCTGATTCAAGATCGGGCTTCCGCAAAGAGCAGTACATAACATTTCAGTTTGTTTCCAATATGAGCTCTGTTGGACCGATCAACTTCAATAAATTCTCCACTATAAACATCGGGTACAAAAAAAAAAAATGCTCCCTAATGGATAAATACATTGTGGTACAGTCATATGTTGAACGCCGTGATGGCCTTGAGGATGAATGAGCTACAGCTCAGCGGAGAGAATATGACACACATAATGTCAAGTGACAGATGCGAGACCCCCCCCCAAGATACACGCAGTACAGTTGACAAATGTGAGCCCCCCCCCAAGGTACACACAATACAGTTCCATTAATACAGAATCCATTCCGTTTAAGGGTGCATACGTGCAGTAAAACTATAGAGAAAAGCAAGATGATTATCCCCCAAGTCCAAATAGTGATAAATTCTGGTAGGGAACAATGTTTGGTGATCATGGGGGTTTCCTGAGCCGCTGGTAACATTCCCCTTCTCAACTTGGGTGACTACTAATTGTTCATTAAAATGTATATACGGTGAACACTCTCTTATGTCCAGAGGTCATATGTCATGATAAAAGATAAAAAGAAAAGAGATAAATTCTCTGTGACACCAGTAATTCAATTATCACTTGAATTCTCTACAAAACAGAGATTAGCATTCTAATAAGCCAGGAACTATTTTTCAGGGGCAAGTATTAACAACCCAAATCAAACCAGGCTAAGGGGGCGGGGGGGGGAAGGAACACACTGGTTCACGTAATTGAATAGTCCATGTGCGGCCTTCAGGCATGGCTAGATCCAGGTGCTCAGATGCTACCCAATAGGGTCTCTCTCTATTCCTTAGCACCATGTTTCTCAGTGCCTCGGTGCTATCTTCAGTTTCAAGCACTGATGAAGAAGATGGACTTTATCATGACTAGGTTCACATGCTACCAGCTTAGTAAGCAAGCAAGCAAATCACCAAAGAAAGAAAGAAACCTCTTTGTCAGCAACTGTAGCAAAAACCTGTATCTGGCTCTTTCTGTATCATCGCGGGTACCAACGGACTCTTCCCTGAGCAGTCACTGTAGCCAAGAGATGTGACATGCTGTTTGGCCAGACCTGGTTCCCAAGTTTATCCCCAGAGCTCTGTCTGTCACAGAGTGACAGCCAAGCGTTCCCTAAGGAAACTTTACTTGTTTTAACCAAAAGACCGGGAACGGCCGTGGAAGCAGGCAAAACCCACCAATGTGCACTATGAATATTTTCCACCTTCCTTTGGTGCTCTCACCAAACAGTAATTTCCTTTCACTTCCCGCTCGTATACATCAAACAAGCCACCTCCAAAGAAAAAGCAAAGGCAAACAAAATAAAATACACAAAAGAGACCCAAGAATTGAGAAAGCAGCCAAAGGCCCTGAAAGAAGGAGTGAATGATTCCATTTTCCCCAACCTCTGGCCTCTCATTAATTACCCACCGGAAGTCTGGGCCAGAGCTTATATACATAATTACATCATTTCTATCGACTTACTGATAATGGATTCTTGCTAGCATGGTTCAGTAGAAGAGAATGTGACATTGTGCTTGGCAGGGCAATGGAGGGTGCCAAATTGACCCAACTCCCTCAGCCTTTGCCCAGTGACCTGCAAATTCTGTCCTGGAGCCTCTGGGGACAAATGGAACTCAGCGAGCTCTTTAACGTGAGTAAAGGGGAAAGATCATGAATGCCCTGGGAGGGTTCGAGACAAAACGGATCTCCTCCAGAAGGAAAGGACAAACTTTGCCCATAACTGACCAAGCCAGCCAGCGTTCCAGGATCACCCCAAGGTAATCACAACCGCGCGTATCTCCTCATTACATGTGTTTTCCCAGAATCCTCTATGCTTCTGTGGACACTGCCAAGGCTGGACTTCAAGGCAGATCCCCGCAAATCTGAAAGCATCCTGAGATCACCATACTCTTTCTAGCCACCCCACACTGGAATCAAATATTAATAAAGGCTGTTGAGACCATAGCTCCCACGCACTTTAGCTCCTGGAGATCTCTTTCCTTTTTTTTTTTTTTTCCTTAACATCTCCTTTCTGGGGACAGCTTGAGGAAATCCACAGTATCAGAACATCCACACGCTCTTCCCAGTTCAAGAACTAAAAAGAGAGAAGTCTCCTTTTAATAATTACCAGTTATCATTTCACAACAAAAGGCTTTGTGGTTTCTGTCACCTACGATCAATGAAGATTAAATTAACATCTTGAAAGGCCACATGATTATTCCACACACATACCTTAGGCTCCCTCCTCGGTGCCAAGCACTACCATAAACTCTGGGGACACAAACGTTAATAAGACACAAGTCCTGCCAAAAAGGGATGACTCAGGAAAAACGCATCTAGGGTAGCATTTTCAGCTGACCCTCAGGCTGTGGTGAAGAGGGAATATAGAAGTAATCTTTTTTAAAAAGCTCTCATCTCCCAGAACCGGGAATTAAAATTGCAGCTGTCCTGTGGGCAGATGGCCCAGGGTGTGCAGTTCAGAGCTGCCCTCCCTCCCCACCATGAGCTCCATTCCTTCCGCAAGCCTCCTCTCTCTGCACACTGCAGAGCCCAGTGCCACAGGCTGGGGGGGGCACCCCCACACCCCCCCCAGGCACACCCCAGGCTGCAGGAGGAGTGTGAGCCCCTCCTCCACCAAGCCTCTCAAGTGGTCTCCCCAACCCTGTTAGGGGCTGAGTTGTGTCCCCACCCCCCATCCTATGTTGAAATCCTAACTCCCACTATCTTAGAATTTGACTGTATTTGGAATCAGTCTTTAAGGAGGTGATTAAATTAAATGGGGTGATTGGGGGGGGGCCCCATCTCAAATGCCCGGCATCCTTGTAAAAAGAGGAGACGGGGACCTAAACACGCCACACAGGGACAAATCACCCATCAACACGCCCAGGAGAGAGGCCTCAGGAGAAACCACAGTTCCTGAGAGCTTCGTCTCAGACTTAGCAGTTTTCAGAACAGCGAGGAAATAAATCCCTGTTGTTTCAGCCACCCACACTATGTTACTTTGCTATGACAGCTCTAGCCGACCAATACAAACCCCATCTACCACGCTCAAAATGCAGAGACACTACAGAAAACTCCTAGGTTTTCAAGGCGCCCCTCTTTTTCTCCCCAGTTCTGAAAGATCAGGCAGGTAAAACAGACGAAACTTCCCCCTCCTCAGACCGAAATGGTACAGCTTTACTACACCGGGACACGTGCAGGACCACCCCTGTCCGGCAGCCCCACACGTGGCACCCAAAGCCTGTCTTCTTCCTCCACTGACAAGCCCCCAGATCGTTTTAAGAGGCTGCACAACCTGGCTTGGAGAAGCCAATGGAGCTCTTGCTGAATCCAGCTTCACGTGATGGGAACAGATTGTGAACTATACATTTGCCAATTTTTCCCCTGTGCCAGACCATTTTTAAGTGATGTGTGCACAGAATGGCATTTAAAGGCCTTAAATATCTCTCCAGGGAGAGAAAAGAGCAGAAAATAGCCCCCGAGGCTCACATAATATCGGCCGGAACAGCTGAGGCAGAGTTTGGGTGGGTTTTCTGATTGTGGTTTTTTTTTTGGGGGGGGGGCTTCTTTTTTGGTTGGTTGTTTTTGTTGTTTTGGCTTTGGGGCTGAAGGAAGGGAGCAGAAAAGAGAAGACACCTAGTTTACAGGCAGCAAGTTAGGAAAGTCACTTCTAGATGGGGGGGGGGGGCTTGGGGGGGTGGATTCCAACTCCTTCAGGGAGTGGAGGGTGAGCAAGCTTCAGGGACTGTGTGATGACCCTGCCGGCAGCCTCAGCGTGTGGGGACGCCCAGCTTCACCTCAAACCCACCCCCTTTCCTGGACAAGGGCTTGGTTTTTTTTTTTTTTAAGTGTTTTTTTAAGCAGCACTTCCTGTTATGTTGGAGGGAAGGTTTGGGCCGTTTTATTATTAAGCAATTCTCTTTTTTAAGTGACCGAAAAAAAAGAAAAAAGAGAGAGACCATATTTCCACCAGGCTAGAATCGGCCTTACTCAAGCATCCATGTTTTAAATCTCCTATTTTCTTAAGCCCTAATTAAGCCTTCCAAGAGCTCGCTATGTTTAATTTGCATTCTGAAACAGAAAATCTAATGTGTTTTAACATTGTCTGCTTCAGCTGAAAAGGAAACTGTAAATTTATACAGTCTGGTTTAAAAAAAAATTGGCAATTGCATCTTAATGAGTCTCTGGAATGGGGTTGGGCAGAGCCCCAAGCCCCGGTCCTTAGCCTCCCACCCCCTTCTTTCTCCACTTCCCATCCCCCTTCTTTCCACCAGTCCCTCCTATGCCTTCCACGCATCCCTCTCCTCCTCCTCCACTTCCTCTTCCCATCCCCCTCTACTTCCCATCCCCCCTCTACTTCCCATCCCGCTCCTCCTCCGCCTCCCATCCCGCTCCTCCTCCGCCTCCCATCCCCCTCCTCCGCCGCCTCCCATCCCCCTCCTCCGCCGCCTCCCATCCCCCATCTCCACTTTTCACCCCCCCTTCCTCGCCCCCTCCCTTCCCCGCCTTCCCCAAGCAACCACAGACTTCCTCCTCCTCCTTCCCTCTCCCCTCCCCGCCCCCGGGACCCCCTCTCCCGGCCCCTCTCGGTGGGGGCCGGGGCTGGAAAGGTCACGTGGCCCCCTCGGCCTCCCGGTGGGGTGAGGGGGCCGGCCGCCGAACCTGTTCTTTGTTAAGAGGTCAACGCCAGCGCCCAGCTCAGCCGAAAGAGTTACCGACGACCTTCGAAGAGCAGCGCACTCACAGCACCACCAACCCCCCCCGCCCCCACCCCACTCCGTCCCCACCCTGCCCCCCTCGGCTGCCTGCCGGGCTCTCGCTACGGGTGGTTCTCCCAAAAAGGCTCAGGCTCACCATTTCCTCCGGGGGGATCCTAAGGCCCTCGGGGTGGGGTGGGGGGGTGCGGTCCCGTTCATGATGAGAAACAGGAAAGGGGCAGCAGAGGCGTTGTGCCTCGGGGCAGCTGGCCGGAGGGCCTGGGGATGGGGGGGGCACAAAGGTAAAGGGGGAGCTCCTGGAGGGAGGAGGCCCTCGGGGAGCTCTGGGTTGGTGGAGGCGCAGGATCTACAGAAGGGAGGCCCGGCCCCAAAGCTTCGGGCTCTCGCGCTGCGGGTGGGCACAGGAGGGTGTCCCTGGAAGGCTGCTGCGTGCGGGGAGGGGGTTGTTCCCGCCGCGCGGGCGGAGAGCTGCCCCCAACAGGCCTGTCCTATAATTAACACCCCCCCCCGGGCCCGCCCCGGGAGAGCGCGGGAGGCCGGGCCGGGGGTGCGCAGGGGGAGTCCTGCAATGCCCCATAAGCCTAACCTCGGAGCCTCTGTTAACGGTGTAACCGCGACGAGAGCATTCGCACCGAGATCGCAGTGCGTGCCTGAGCCACCTGACCAGATAGATCTCTTTCTCTCTTCACTGGAGGGTACCGTTGGCGACCCAAAGAATGTGTACTCTTCCTAAAAGAAAACAAAACATAGCCAATTTTCTGTCCAAGAAAATAGAAATTCCCAGAGAAGACCCAGTGTCAACATTGGCTTACAGGACTTGCCTGTCGTGTTTTTCTGTGCAGAAAAATTTCCCATCCAAAAATGGGAGTTGAGGGTAGAAAGGAGGTGAATAATAAAATAGGGCTCTCAGGGTAGAAATAGCTTAGCATTCTGATTCTGTTACCTAGTCTTTTAAAAATATTTTTCTCGGTCACTAAATATTATTCAAAGACATACTTTTAATGACGGCTTAAAGTTGGACCGTATGGAATTTTATATGCCAGAATGTATTACCCATTTTCCTACTATAGAATGTTCATTCCCCTTGTTTAAGCCTGAAGAAATATATCCTAAATTACCTCCCCCCTTGTGTAGTTGTGTAAGTAACCTTTCTCACTGTAACCCTCCGTGCAAAACATGAATAGTCTCCTCCCGCCATGGGTAAGTGTGTTGACTTTGCTTGCTTTTGGGTAGCTTGGAATTTGAAGCTTTCTGGTGTTCAGGAAAGAAAACTTTGGCCAAGTGACCAACCTGAGAGCTGCATCTTGTTCTTTGAGACCTCAGATCAGGGAAGAGAGTAGCCTGCAGGGGAAGAGAGATGCTCAGGGTAACTGGAGAGTGTCGCAAATATCCAGATATCCCAGTCTTGGAAGGAGCCTGGATGGGAAACTCCCCAAGCATTGCCTGCCACATTCCCTGGGATATCCTGCAAAGCCTAAATGTTTCTGGTGAGGAGTGGAAATCTTCCCTTCTGTTACGTTCTCTGCTAAATATATCGGTTTTTTAATTTATATGCACATGCACATTTTATTGGAATGGTGGCTATCACCAATTACGTAGAACTTGCAGGACTTGAAAGGCACAAATCTCAGTGTGGTGGGACAATATAGAGGCATCTCATGGAAAGAGCAGTCACCTCCTGTTAATGACAAACTTCCCAGGCCTGGGAGGCATCCGGGTAGTTAGTTTGAATGACTCCCTCTTTTCGTGCTGATCACATGAACTGTGTGAGCAAACTGTTTCCCTGAGTTACTTCACCCCACGTTTTTGTATTGCATATGATAAGAAGAAATGTGAGAACAATCAATATATAGCCTTCCCTTTAACAAAACATCACTGCCCCAAACTTCTCTGTAGTGGATGAGAATGCATCACACCAGAGCCACCCCCCTCCTCTTCGAAACACTCACATAGTGGGTTTTTTGTTTCTTTAATCAACAACTTCAGTGTTAAAATGTGATCGATTGTATATAGCTACTCAAGAGAAAAAGAAAACATGTCCACATTATTCATAAAAGCCAAAGAGTGGAAACAACCCAAATGTCCATCAACAGATACACAGACGGGATACGGTCCATCATACAATGGAATAGGATTCAGCCATAAAAAATAATGAATTCCTGGTGTGTGCCACATGGATGAGCCTCAGAAATGTTATGCTGAGACAGGAAAGGCTACATATCATATGAGTCCATTTATACAAAATGTCCAGAAAAGATTAATCTAGAGAGGAAGTAACCGAGTGGTTGTCACTGGACGCAGAAGCGAAGGGATGGGGAGTGAGGGCTCCTGGGTACCAGGTTTCCTTTGGGGGTGATGGAACTGTCCTAAAATTATATCGTACTCATGATTATACAAACCTTTCTGTACTAAAAAACCACCACCAACAACACTGAATTGTACACTTACAGCGGGTGATGTTTATAGCATGTAAATTATATCTCAATAAAAGTTTCTTAAAATGCAATAGTGTGACAGTTTTTTCAGGCACTGTCTCAAGGTGTAAAGGGGACCCCGGCACAGACCTGTCAAAGATAAAATACCTTCAAAACAGGCCACTCTGAAACTAGCAAATGCTAGAGTGAATCTGTACCAGACACTAGCATTTTCTTGGAGATTTTTCTCTGCGATCCTGCCCCTTCCCGGAACTAAGTCCTCATCACTTTATGTTAGTATATGGACTCAGTCCTTGCAGTGCTTTGGTTCACTGCTTTTCCCACGGACCCTGCAAAATAATCCATAAATCGATCTCACTGGCGATTTACACAGTTAACCCCCAATTCCTCAAGCGACCATTGAAGCTTTCCCCTAACTAAGTTCACCAAACTTAGCTGAGCTGTTTGCATCTCCTTCTCTCCCGATAAGCCACCATCCACAGGCAGAAGCATACTTGCCACTGAAACCCAGGACCCACACGCTCAGACGTACGTGGCCTGAACCAGCCGCTCACGAAATCACCCTCACCTTTGCCACGTGTGACATACTAATTGTGTGTATCCATTTTCATTTCACTTTTCACTTTTTTCAATGCTGGTCATCACCTATCCCACTAAATTCACAACCAAGCAGTTATTTGAGGAACCATCCCTCCTTCCCTGGTTTGAAAAATATGGGTCCACTGTGGATATTAGGCGATGAGTGGAGACATTTTGGGTTGTCACAGCTGGGGGAGGGGTGCTGCTAGCATCTAGTGGGTGGAGGCCGGGGATGCTGCCCAGCACCCAACACTGCACAGGGGAGTCCCCACAGCAGAGTGCAATCTGGCCCCGAACACTGATAGTGCCAGGACGGAGAGATTTTCATCTCAACTCTAGAAATGTCTCCAGTGTCCGCATCTACTCAGGGGGTCTTGTAGCTAACTCTAAAATAAGGTGGAAGGGGGGCGCCTGGGTGGCTCAGTCGGTTAAGCATCTGCCCTCGGCTCAGGTCATGATCCCAGGGTCCTGGGATGGAGCCCCGCATCCCCCATCAGGCTCCCTGCTCAGCGGGGGGCCCGCTTCTCTCTCCCCCTCTGCCCCTCCCCCCACTTTTCTCATTCTCTCTCTTTCTCGCTCGCTCTCTCTCAAATAAATTAAAGAATCTTTAAAAATAAAATAAAAATAAGGTGGAAGGAGAGAAAATGGTCCATAATCAAGAAAGGTAACCTGCTCCAGCCTGCTCTTCCTTCCTCTTCCCTAATATCTTTACCTTCTGTATCAGTAACCCAAAGCAGACCATGCGGGTCCCCAGCCAACATTAGCTCAGAGAACGGCTCTGACCGCGTGATCAGACTTTAGCTGAGGGCCGATTTGTGCTCAGTGGATCTGTCCACATAACTCACGTGCGGAGTACTTATTATATCCCTGTGAGTCCCCACACAGTCCCCCTAATTTGAACCCTCTTTCTCAGCCCAGGGCTGGTCCACAGAGGAGCACGGGTCTGGATTACTCGCACCTGAGGTTTTTCTGGCTTTGAGTTCAAATGTTCTGAAATGAAGGCCCCGTCTTTGCCCGCACCGCTGCCTCTGCTGGGGCCCTCTCCCCACGGTCAGGGAAAGGCAGGCCCGGCTCCCCGCGTGTGCCTTGGCCCCAGTGAGTGTCCACGTGTTCATCCTGCCTCCCGCCATTTGGCACTTTCCACCCACATCCGCCTCGGGCTCCCCCATGCAGCTCCCCCTCCTGCCCTGCCTTCTGCTCTTTGGAAAGTTCCTCTTCCTTCCCTGGCTTTGCTCTCCCTTTCTCATTAAGAATTCAGAAACTGTCCGTGATGTACTTCGTGGGCCTCGGTTCTCATCTCTGAGCCCATGCACGCCCACACCTAAATCACATGTACCCTGACACTCCAGCTCGGCCCCACACTGGAATCACTCCAGGGGCATTAAAAACTCCGAGCACGGGACGCGTGCGTGGCTCAGTCAGTTAAGCGTCTGACTCTTGATCTCGGCTCAGGTTGTGAGCTCTGGGTCGTGAGATGGAGCCCCGAGCTGGGCTCTGGGCTCTGTGCTGAGGCGCTGAGGTGCTGAGCGTGGAGCCTGCTTAAGATTCTCTCTCTCTCTCTCTCTCTCTCTCTCCCTTTGCCCCTCCTCCTCCCCACCCACTCACGCATATGCTCTCTCTCTAGAAATAAATGAATAAATACTCCTACCCACTTGAGTCCCACCCCCAGAAATTGGGATTTCTTCAGTCTAGGATATGGCCCCGAGCCTCACAATTTTTGAAATCACCCCCAGTTGAGAACCACTAATTTATTAAAAAGTACACAGAAGTATGTTTCCGCCTTGCTGTTTTTCACGACATTAAAAAAATTTATACTCGTTCAGACTACTTTCCGATGTTACTTCGTGCCAACTGTCCTTTGTCTTGTCGCGGGGGGAGACGGTGCCGAGCCTCCCACGGGCTCAAAGAGGAGAGCCACGGCAGACCCACCGGAGCAAGGCTCTCAATGCAGTTGGGGGCAAAGCATGACGATGAGTTCGGTGAGCTTAGTGAAGACTGGGGAGCTGGCCAGTTCTGTTCTCATTACCCGCCGGGGCTCAGGACTTTCCTTTTCAGCAGTTGCACGGAGCTAACTCCTGCGGCTCACTGGACCACCGTGGGCACCTCCTGAATTTCCTTGGGCCTTCTTGCCAGGCAAATGCCGGTGCCTGG